CCTGACACACACACACACACACACACACACACACACACACACACACACACAGCAAAACACTGGTGCAGCTCCTCCAATTTTTTTTTTTTGGTAATCTCTGCAATGCTCGAGTTTCTGGATATAAGCCCATTTGAGTCACGGATTTTGCCCATTTCAGTAAAGACCCATGTCCCTGAAAGCCCAACAAAATTAGAGGACCTTCAGACTGCCTTGGTTTGATTTGTTGGTCAGTTTGTTTCTTCTCATTAATTCGCAATGATCCCTAAATCCCTAAATGCTTAACTTTTTTTTTTTAAACAGTTGATGGGCTATCAACTCTCTGAAGGGAAACTGGACCAGAAGACAGCCATGTCACTCTTGTGGAACTCCTATTCCAGTGTTGTAAGAGTGGAGGAATCATGGAATTGTCTGAGACCCAAAGAGGAACGAGGACTTGCCTCAAATCACAGAGAAATTCAATGGCAGAAGGAAGACTGGGGCCTCGGTGTCTCCCCTATCTTTTCACCCTTCCCACTTCACTTCCCACCCTGGGGGGGAGTTGCACAGGACCTGTGAGGTTTACCATTGAGGCAATCCTTCCTGGTGGGCTGGAGATGCTGCATCACTCACCAGGAAGTGATGGTCACTTTATTGATCTATTTCAGAAAATTCCTAAGGAACTCATTCCAGAAGCCACTGAGAAGTACTTAGGAGGAACAGATGACCCTGTCAAAAAGAAAGACCTCTTCCTGGACTTGGTGGGGGATGTGATGTTTGGTGTCCCATCTGTGATTGTGGCCCGAAACCACAGAGGTGAGTCCCAGAGGTCGAACAGGGGAGGGACACGAACCACACCAACTTCTGCATCTGACCCGCCTACCTCCCAGCATAGACAGACATGGAAACAGCCAAGGGTTAGGCCTCAAAGGCTGATTCCATATGGCATGGGGTGAGATGCTGTCCTATTTTGGTTTATGCCTATAGCAGACTGAGAAAAAAAAATCCAGAGGCAAGTGGTTTTGTAAGGTGATGATCCCAGATAACAGCAGTGGGGAGGTGGGGAAGTGAGAGAGGAAAGAGATGGAATCCAATCCATGATGCATTGCCAAGGGAGTATCCACTGTGGACAACTGGACCTGGGAAATCCAAGGAAACATGGAGAAAACAGTGCTCAGGTGCTTCCCATCTGAGCAGCAAGGGAGCCAGGGTATTTATCCACCAGCTTCCACTTGTCATTGGTTGAAGGTTGTTCTAAGGAGTTGTTAATTCCCTGTGACTTTGACCTGCTAAACACAATGACAGACTGGTCTCTTGTGACCAAGACAAAGGCCTCAGGCCAGGAGCTACAGATGCTGGAGGTGGAAGTCAGGCTGGCATGCCCAGAAATAGGGGATATGGGTGAGACACTGACAGCATCTGCTGCAAGGGCTCTATGCCTGGAGTTATCGCGGGACATAGGGCTGCTGTAGGACAAATATTGAAAGATGAATTGTGGAAGGTTTTTTAAGGTCCAAGCTTGCTGCCAACAAGTTTGTTAAGTATTGGAGCTGGGGAAAGAGTGGGACCTCTGCACAGGAACCAGAGGGTTGTCCAGGACCAAGCAGGCCAAAAGGAGGAGCCATAGCAGGTGTGGGGTTGCTGGTCTAGAGGAGGGCAATGTCTGAGGCTGGCTTTTGTGCATCTTAGTGTGCGTAGGAACAGGCAGCCAGAGGGCCAGGGCAGGGTCTATGCAGGACCTTCTACCACTGACCCAAGGCAGTGTGAGTGGGTGATGAGGTTAGGGATGCATGAACTCACTTAGAGAGGAATGTACTATCCTGGGTGCCAATCACTGACCCAAGGCTGTGTGGATTGGGCATGAGGTTAGGGATCCATGAGCTCTCTAGAGAGGAGCATCTTCTCCTGGGTGCCGGCTAGAGGAGGTTCACAGAACTCTTTTTCTTCCAACTCTCACTCACCTAGTTTGCAAGACAGGAAATGTCCTCTCTCTAACCATGCTGGAAGGGTTTTTAAATGTGGAACATCATAAGCATGATAAAAACTAGCTAAAGCTGATCTAGCAGGTGCCCAGACACACCTTTGCACAGGAAGATACAGGCGCTCATTAACTCTCACTTCTTCACGGGGTCCTGATAAAACCTTTTAACCGGGACCACTGGAGTTGATCTGTTCTTTTGTAAACTTGGCTTTGCCCCATGCTCTGCATCTGATTTATATATAGTGTTCCCATCTCCATCTTTTGATGGTTTAAGCAATACTGAACTTGTATTTTTCATCTGATTTCCCATGACTTTCTGTTCAGGGGTTTTTATTTTTATTTTTGCTACACAGGTCTTATCAACTTTCACTTTTTGCTGTGTCTCACTCTTTTTGATGAAAAGACCATTTCTAAATATAAAGTTAATATGTTAAATTGTAGAAAGTTTCAAAAATATGGAAACACATAAAGAAGAAACTAGGTGTCACTCATAATTCTGCTACATGGAGGCAAGTGCTATAATTTTTTGTGTTTTCTTCTAAAGGTTTTCCATGTCCTATATATTTTAAAAATCAATTTTGTATTTTGCTTTCTTTCATAGAATACTATGTCGTGAGGATTTTCTGAATGTTGATACGAACTCATCAAAAGATCCCTCATTCCATGAAATGACTGTATGAAATTGACTTTGATATTCCTACCTATTAGACATTTAGCCTGGCTGCTCACATTCTGATGCTACAATAACATTATGCTCAGCCTAATGTTCATAAGTCTCTAACCACATGTCTAATAATTTTCTTAGGATTATTTTTAGAAGTGAATAACTAGTCTGGACCACAGAAACGTTTTAGAACTCTTGGCAAATATTGCAAAATTGCATTTCAGTGCATAAGAATGTGAATTTTCTAATTCCGTTTTTCATTTGGGATACTAAGTCTAAAAGTTAATGCTGCCAATTTGTCCCCACCAAAAAGAAGCACTTCACCCTGTTTTAATTTGCATGTTTTTCATGACGAGCCCTCTCACTGTCTCTGCTTCTCTTATGGTGCCTAACTGTCATTACCCAAATCTGTACCCTAGTTTTCTCTGAAGACTTGTGTTGTGACTGTAGGAATTGTATGAACATCAGTCACTTTAGCCAAAGAGTTTTTACAAAGTAGGTTTTGGGCAGCATGCTGCCTATAATAAGTTCCCTCATTCACGAAAGCTCTTTCCTCTGTGGTTGACTCTGAGTTCCTCTGGAAAATGTCTGAGTGGCAAAGGCAAGGTCAAACCCTCCTTTAAGCACTTTTTGCTTGACCTTGAAGCAGCCATTTAACAGGTGGATTACAGAGCCACAGAGGATGGCTTCTTCCAAACCACGCTTCCTGCTGAGCCAAGAGTGCAGTGAAGGAGGCTGACAAAGATGAGTAAATGGATTGTTCTTTTTCACATGAAAATGACACATGTGGGGTGTGGTGTAAGGCCCTATTGGTAAATCCTTCTGTGGATGAATATTTAAGGATGTTAAAAAATGACGGCTGGAGGTGGTGGCTCATGCCTATAATCTCAGCACTTTGAGTGGCTGAGATCCGAGGATTGCGAGAGCCTAGAATTTAAAGATCAGCCAGGGTAACATAGTGAAACCCCATCTCTACAAAAAAAAATTTTTTTAAGTGATGGCAGTATATTTCAAAATAACATATATAATATCATCCCAAGTTTATATATATAAAAGAGACATATGCTAAAATTTTTCAACAGCATTCCCTGAGTGGTAGAGTTATGAGTGCTATTTTAAATTTGATTTTTAAAATTCATTTTAAAACTGATTTTTAAATTATACACAATGTGGTAAATGCAAAATGCTGAGTCACAGGGCTGGGTGACCCACAAAGAAGCCCTGAAGGAGCAGCGATCTGTGGCTCCAATGAGCCAATCATTAGGAACCTGGCATCTTCTTGGGGCTGGGACTGGAGAGCTTTGCTGGTGGGAGAGGAAGGCAGAGGAGAAGGAGACAGGGCAGGGGAGAGGCAGGGTCACCCTTGCTCAGCCCCTTCTCTTCTCTGCCACCACTTTAATGCCTTAACACCTTAACACTCCCAGGCCAGGTAGGCAGCGAGGCACGTGGGCAGAGTGAGAGATAAAGCGCTGAGTGTGCAGATTCCTCAGACACAAGAGACGGGTTGTTCACGCTCCGCATATGTTTGTATTTAAATAGCCGCACATTCAGACAAGCAACTTGGATTTGCTTGAGTCTTCTCAGAAAGGGTGAGAAAAACACTGGAAATGCTCAAAACTAGGCAGAACAGAAGACACCTGTCAGGGTGGAGATGTCATCCCAGTGAATGAACGCGAGTCTGCTATCAACGAATGACATCCCGTGTAACCAGCTGTAGAGAGATTGTCTCGTGTGAGAATGCGCCAGCAGGCAAAGGGGTTTACACGGCTGAGCCAGTGTCCCTGGAAAGGCAGTTATTGAAATGAATTGACCCAGGGTTTCCTCATTCATTCATTCAACATTCATTCACTGAACAAACACCTGGCTCCAATTCCGTTTCCACCTCAACCAGCTGTGCAGCCCGGAGCACGTCACTGAGCTCTCCTGCGACTCTGTTTCTCTACTGTGCTGATATCAGGGGTTTCCTGCAGGGCTGGAGACCTTGGTAGCCTCCAGGTGTGTGTCAGGCCACATGAACTGTCCATGAATCCTTGTCTTCTCAGATGCTGGAGTACCCACCTACATGTATGAGTTTCGGTATCGTCCAAGCTTCTCATCAGACCTGAAACCCAAGACGGTGGTAGGAGACCATGGGGACGAGATCTTCTCTGTTTTTGGGGCCCCAATTTTAAAAGGTAATGGCTCCTTGCTGGCCCTGAGATTGGAGTTAGGAGATCTGGGTTCCAGTCTTGGTGTAGTGGCCTGCAGCAAGTTTGTCCTCTCCTGGTCTTAGTTTCCTGATTACTATGACACTGTTGAATGTCATTGGGTAGCTCCTGGCTTTCTCCCTCTGTAACACACGTGAAGGAGGATGTTAATTCATATCCCCTATGCACAGAAACTCAGAATCATGGCCTGTGACATCAAGACAGGTGGGATGTCTCCTAAAGGATTCACTGTAACAGGGTTGAATGTCAGTGGGCTGTCCCCAGCTTCCTCCTGCTCTAACAGGTGAGGGAGGATGTGTATTCATGTGCCCTCTGCCACAGACGCTAAGAATCCTGGCCTGTGACATCAACAAGACAGGCAATAGGACACATGCAGGGCCCTGCTCTAGGTTGAGAAGCCACCAATCAATTTCCCTCTCCCAGGAGGGCCCAGAATGTGAGGGGGAGGTTAGCATTGGTGTTAGCCCTGAGTCAGGTCTAATGTGTGTCTGTTTCTCTTTCTGTCTGTCCCTAACAAAAACTCATAAACCTTTAGATTTAATACAGATAATAATTCTTAATTTAGAAATCACAGGATGTATGAATTTGGAGTAGGAGAGCAGACTTTATTTTTGGTATTGTTTACAGTTGGCAAGGTGGCCATCCCACAGGCTGTGAAGGTGACTCCAGCCAAATCCAGACATAGGCTCATCATCGAAGGAGGAGGGGTTGGGTAGGAGCTTTATGTGAATGGGTTGGCTAAACACACATGTTCAACAGGTTGCAGTGGAAGGAATGAATATTCATAAAGACAGTCCTGATCCCACATGTATTAAACAAACTTGCATGTAACATGACCTATGGGTCATGGGGTGAAGACTTAATATTTAAATGTATTTAAATGTTTTACAATTAGGGTCTATAAGTCAAAAGGTCTTCTCAGAACACAAAGCCCAGCAACTGAGCAGCCTCTGTACACTGGCCAAGTCCAGTCCACGGTTGGTTGTCTTCTCATCTGGAGAAAGTTACTGAAATTAGTCTCTTACGCAATCAAAGACCGGCCGGGCAGGGCTGTTTGTCCGGGCAGGGCTGTTTGTCCGCGTCTCCAAGCAGCAGCTGTTGTAACTGTTTACATTTTGATTAATTCCAGGAAAGTGCTAGTTTAGCTGATAGAGAAACAGAAGCACCTCATGGCAGTGAGAACAAAGTCGATTTTTTAAGGGCGCAGATGCAGGCCTGAACACCTGCCCAGCGTGGCCTTAGGTCTTGTTTTTAATTTGGTGTCTTATTGTCACAAAGAGCGTGATCTGTCCGATTGATGACCTTCATTTTATTGCTGATGCTGGTCGGTGGTGTCTAAATCACAAAAGGGAGGGAGTACTGTGAGATGTGTCTGACCTCCTGTCCGTTCCCAGGCGGGAACTCAGTGTAGGGTTTTTTGGGCTCCCCTTAGCCCTGAGGGGTTCTGTTCAGTCAGTTGGAGGTGTCAGGATTTTGTTTTTAGTTTACATTACACAACATTTAAAAGAATCCTTCCACAATGTCTTCTAAACCTTAACTCTCAGCAGTTACAGATCACATGGGACTCACCCCGCAGCTGCTCTGGACGCATCAGCGCCTCTGGGCCTCTCCCAGTTGTGCACCCCAAGGAGCCTTGAGCTCTGTTATTTTTCAGAATATGAATTGTGGGTGTGTGCCAGGGAGGGAGAAAAGTTCCAAGACAGAGCGACCCTGGGAGGTGGGGCTGCTGTAGAGGAAACCCTGGGGTGTGGCATTGCCTGTGATCCCGAGCAGGGAGGAGGCAGGTGAGGGTCACGGGAGGCAAAGGCAGCCAGCACATGGAATCACATATGCCATTGCTGAGCCCTAGGTCAGCCATGCTCAAAGGTAAAGTGCTCTTAAATCCACCAGCGTCTTCTTGAGTGCAGAGTTCAGCTCAGCGGATGTGGTGCATGGGCCAAAAATGTGCTTCTACCTGGCTGGTACATGATGATGCTGCTGCAGGACCGCGGACCACACTCTGAGTAACAAATGCTTTTTTTCTTCTTCCTAACAGAGGGCGGCTCTGAAGAGGAGATCAGACTTAGCAAGATGGTGATGAAATTCTGGGCCAACTTTGCTCGCAATGGGTGAGGCTGGTGGCAAAGACGGAGCGGGGCTGGTGAGGGTGGGGGGACAGAAGACGCCTATCGGGAAGGGGCAGCTTCTAAGGTTCTAGTGATCAAACTCCTGACCCTGTGACCATGGCTCTCTGACAATGAGAGCTCTCTAAAAATGGATAGGCCACCCCAGGAGATAGTGAGCTCCCCATCTCTGGAGGTATACAAGCCTCTTGACAGATAAGCTTGGGCATCCTCACCACATCTCAGAGGATTGTTGGGATCACATAGCAGTTTTGGGGCATTCCTATTTGATTCTGTTTCAGAAACCCCAATGGGGAAGGGCTGCCCCACTGGCCAGAGTACAACCAGAAGGAAGGGTACCTACAGATTGGTGCCAACACCCAGGCGGCCCAGAAGCTGAAGGACAAGGAAGTGTCTTTCTGGACTAACCTCTTTGGCAAGAAGGTGGTGGAGAAGCCACCCCAGACAGAACACATTGAGCTGTGAATGGGATGTCCAGCCAGCGTCAGGAGCCTGGAGGAGCCAAGAATGGGGTCTTTTGTTAAAGAGATTGCAGGTTAAGAAGGCATCTTACCATGGCTGGAGAATTGTCTGGTGGCGGGGGAGGTGGAGGAGGCAGAGGCCATAAAGGAGCAAGTTTTGTATTTGTGACCTCAGCTTTGGGAATAAAGGATCTTTTGGAGGCAAAATCAGTGTTTGTGTCTTGGACTGGAGATTCATCCATCCTCCTAGAGATAGAATGATGATGAAAGAGGCAATGTGAGAAGGAAGGTGGCTTTGCTGGGGATGGCTTGGCCTCAGGACAAGTAGAGCCCTTAGGGCTGGGCCACGGATGGTGCTCAGGGGAGCTTCGAGCCTCCTGCATGTTTCTGGCAGCCGGCAATATCCAACAGTAGGATTTGGGATGGCCGGAGTGCCGCATCCCTACCCTCCATTTGGAGCTGCTTGTGCAGGTGGAGGTGGCCCAGGCTGAGAATGAGCCTAGATCAGGGAAAGAAGAACATGTTCCGAGGTGATCCTGTGGCATTGTTGCGTGGCCCTTACTTACCCTTGCATAGGCCTGAAACATCTGCCTGAATATGTACGATAGCCTCCCAGTGACCCCTATGAGCCTATCTTTTCCATCAGCTGGTCAAAATTCCCTCTGTAGCCTGGACCACTCCTGGTGCGGGTAGTGACCACTTTGGAGTAAGTCTCCAGAGGGTCCTTTTCATAGAGTGTTTCTCAGAATCCCATGGATGATTTCTGCATTCTCCTAGGATGTAGAAAGTTCTAAAGCCTGTTGCTCCTGCCTTCACAGCAAGTGAATGCTGGATTGTCCTGCGAATCATAACTTTTCATGCACCAAAGAGCTGAAGCTGTAAGGCATGTGATTACCCTGAAATTGAAGGGAAGACAAGAACTTGGGGGGAGGGATGGAATGTGAACTCTGTCTTACCTCTCACCTGCAGGCAGGAGATGGGGTGACCATAACAAGCTGAAATACTATGAATTTTAATCAGTGCTGAAGGCCAGGTGTGGGCCACTGTGAGAGTATTAAATCTCTGGGAGCCACAGACACAAGGAGGAGTTCACACCGTCACAGACTCTACTCCATGGACATCTATCAGGTACCCAGGAGAAATATTGGGGTAGATGGTAAGGCTGGAGAAAGCCTGCCTTCAGGGGCACAGGCATGAGCCCTGCTCACACCCTTCACCCCTAAAGAACAAAATCCTTCAACCAATGGTGAATGGCCGGTAAATCTTGTCTTCCTCAAGGCACTGGCAGAGACATATTGAGGTTGAAGATAAGGAACATTTAAAAACTCTAGACTCCTGGGAGAGGGACAGGGAATCATCTTGAGCTCAGATAATTGGTCTTTTACTGCTGGGGATGGTCAATATCTCTGAGAAGGCCCCATCTCCAACACCAACAAACAGAGGTCCTGTCTAACGTTGAGGCTGGACCAGGACAAGAGAAGGCACTCCTCACTGCTACTATGGAGTTACCAAGCCCCAGGTAACAGAAATCTATGCTGAGGAGAGAAGGCATGCAGAAAGACCCTCTCAGAAGAGCAGGTGCACAGGACAGGCCTAAAGCTGAGGGTGGAATGGGACATCAAAAAAACTTCAGAAAACCAGTGCTTACACAAGCACACTAGAACCAGCACAAGGTAGCACTGGAAGCATTTGAAGCAGATGGTTCATTTAAGATAAACATAGCAACGAAACTATTCCCTGCTCATCTCACTTGAAATACAGGTATACAAACACACACACACACACACACACACACACACACACACACACACGTCAGTCTCGCAGCAGAAGAAAGGGTATGCCCATTTCCTGTCACTGATGCTACTTACTTCAATTTCTGCTTTCTTATTCATGATATCAAGCATTGTATTCAAAATCGCAAACCTTAAAAAGGAGACAAAACCTATTAACAAGAGACAAAGCAGTTGTGCACAGGAATGCATGCCTGTATTCCCAGCTACTTAGGCGGCTGATGCAGGAGGATTGCTTGAATCTGTCTGTTCAAGGCTATAGTGCACTGTAATTGTACCTATGAATAGCCACCTGCACTCTAGCCATGGCATCATGGTGAGACAGCATCCCTTAGAGTGAGTGAGTGAGAGAGAGAGAGAGAGAGAGAGAGAGAGACAGGCAAAGCAATCAACGGAACCAGATTCAGAGATAACCTAGGTGTTAGACTAACAGATTGGAAATTTAAAATAACTATATGGAATGCTTACATGAACAGATGGGTAGTTTCAGCAGAGAGGTAGAGGCTGTAAGAAAGAAGCAAATAGAAACGCTAGAAATGAAAAAAGTAGTGACAGATATGAGAAATGTCTCCAATGGATTCATCAGTAGATCCGACACAGGTGAGGAATGAATGAGTGCACTTGTAGATAGGTCCATATAAATTACCCAACTTAAAATGAGTGAAAAAAACCCAGATAATCCAAGAACTGTGAGATAATATCTAATGGTCCAACATATGCATAACTGGAATCCTAGAAAGAGAAGACAGAGCAGGGAGAAAAAAAATATTTGAAAAGATAATAGTGGAGAAATTTCCTGATAGTGATGAAAAACATCAAGGCATAGATCCAAGAAGCTCAGAAAACCCAAGCAGGATTCAACAGCTACAAAAACAACACACACAGTTAGACACACACTGAGAAAATATTGAAGGCAGCCAGAAAAAAAGGACACTGCATACAAAGCAAAGGATTAGAGCAGACGTCTCACTGGAAACTATGCAAACCATAAAATAATGGAATGACACCTTTAAAATATTCAAAGGAAAAAAATCTCTCAACCCAGAATTTTATATCCAGCAAAAATACTGTTCAAAAATAGAGGGGAAAAGAGCTTTCAGATGAGCAACAGACAGAATTTATAATTATCACATCTGTGTTACAAAAAGTATGAAAGAAAATTCTGTATATACATAGATAGTATATAATACAGGACAAAAACTTGGATCTTTATCAAAGAAGTGAAGCTCTACAGACAACTTTAAAATAAAGGTAATATATTTTTACTTATATTTAATTACTGTTTAAAACAAAAATAGCACCAATGAACTGTGAATTTAAAGCATAGGTAAGAACAAAATATATGACAAAAATAATACGAAAGACAAGAGATAGGCATTTGAAGTAGACTTTTGTAAGATTCTTACACTTTGTGTAATTGGTAATTTATTGTCTGAAGGTAAAAGGTGATTAATAAAATATGTATATTGTATACTCAGGAAAACCAATAAAGATTTTTAAAAAGAGATATGAATAAGAATGCAATAGCAGAGATAACATGAAATCCTAAATACTACACAAGCAAGCAGACAGGAGAGCAAAGACACAGGAGCAAATGAAAAAGTACTGCTGAAACGACAGATTTTAATCCAACCATATCAATAATTATGTTAAACAAAAATGATGTAAACACACCAATTAAAAAGGATTTTCAGATTGGATTAAAGAAAATCCAAGACCCAACCATATGCTGCGTCATAATGAGTTTGACTTCACTATTTGATGTTTGACTACTGACGGCTTTTAAGCCTCAGCGTTCCCTTGTCCCCTCTTGCTGACACCTGGAAAGCTGAGAAGGCCTGGGTGCTTCCTTTTTGGTACTGAAGGAAAATTCAAAGCTTGCTGTGAGAAAGCTTACCACAGCCCCAGTGCAGAATCCTCATACCACATCTGGTCATCCTGTCCAAGACAGCATCCCAGAGCTCCCTGAGCCTCAGCGAGGGTAGGAAACAGCATATGTTTTCCTTTTGGTCCAGAGAGAAGAGGAGACACTACAGATCAGGGGTCAGCAAGGTGCAGTCCACAGGCCAAACCTGCAGACCCTGGGATCCTTGGATCAGGACCAATGTCAACCTTGCTTTGGGGCTCCCCAATAAGTGGTGGGCAATGGGACCTGGATGGACTGAGAGCTGCTAAGCAGTTGGATCTGTACCCAGGGAAGTGCACATTGGCCTTTGATGATCAGTCCATGGTACTCTTGAAATCTATAATAATGGCAGCAATAGTCCAGGCTCAGTGGCTCACGCTTGCAATCCCAGCATTATGGGAGGCTGAGGGGAGGATCACCTGAGGTCAGGAGTTCAATACTAGCCTGACCAACATGGTAAAACCCCATCTCTACTAAAAGTACAAAAATTAGCTGGGCATGGTGGTGGGTGCCTATAATCCCAGCTACTCGGAAGGCTGAGGTGGGAGAATTGCTTGAATCCAGGAGGAAGAGCTTGCAGTGAGCCAAAATCGTGCCTTTGCACTCCAGCCTGGGCCACATGAGCGAAACTCAGTCACAAACATAAAATAAATAAATAAATAAATAATAGCAGTAATAGTAGTAAGTAAAAGTCACTGCATAGTTATGATGTGTTTTATTATAAACACTCTCCATATTAACTCAGAGAGTCTTCACAGAAACCCTATGAACGGTTCACTTGGTATCAATCATGTGACGTCAACACGAGGCCCAAGAAGACCGGACTAAAATGAACGGCTGTGGAATTTGCTGTGCAAAACAAAAACAAAAATAAAAAACAAAAACAATGCAGGATGCTTATTCTAACAATTCTGAAGAATTTCAGGAACCAGCAGCACAGCGTTAAAGCCACCTGTAGCCCTCCTGACAGCAGGGCCCTGTGACTGCACAGGTTTCGGGCCCAGGAAACTGGCCCTGGTCACAGACAGAGCTGGGATACGAACCTAAGCAGCCTGGATCTAGAGCCTGAGTCTTTACGTGTGAAGCAGTACTGCCTTCTCACCCAGAACAGCCTTTGAAAGCCCTGTCTGGGCCAGTCCTGGTCTCTAATTGCAGGAGCCTCATTCTGGCCAAGGGCGCCCATTTGGCGGCCAGTCTCTGCTGCCCCCTCGTGGGCAGTGTTAGATAGCCACCTTGCTTCTGGGGAAGAGTCAGGACCACAGCCCCAGGCACAGGCTCCCAGCAATGTCCCTAGATAGTGGTGCAGACACCTGGGCTGACACATCCAGAGACAGCATCAAGACTGGTCTCTTGGCTCTTTCAGCCTCTACAGTCATCATCACAGACGGGCTGTTTGGGTGGGAGTTTCCCAAATCTTATTCCTCTTTCAAACCAAGATTAAACGCCTCTGACTCAGGGTTCCCCTCAACGTCTAACACAAAACGGTCCCAGTTCCTGGCATCTCAGAAGTGTTCAGGAAAGTCCATCTACTTAGCATTTTTCTGCAAATGGTCCACCTCTTTCCTCTTCCCTGGACCAGTCTAAAACTCGCAAATTAAAAAACCCAACTGTTTTTCCTCTCCACGCTCCCACAACCTCAATACCTCTGACACCAGATGTGTGAGCTTTTCCCACACACCAATTCTCTAATGCAGTCCCATCTGACACCATCTGCCTGGAGACAGCGCCAGATAGCCTAAGGGCTCAGTCCCACGAGAATGCCCCCATGTCAGAGGCCAGTCAAAAGTCTCAGGTTGTAACTCTGAGGCAAGTTCACCACAGGTCGGTTCCCAGCCTGTCTGGGTCTGGTGAGACACAACAGACCCACACCTAACACCTCTATGAAGCAGCGTTATTACTCGTAGCAAGAAGGGATTCAATCTCAGTTTGAAGAAGGAATAAGAGATGGGAAACTCCCACCCAAACACATAGGCAGCAAGGGACAACAGAAGGCTGCCTGGGGCAGATGGAGTCTTAGCTGCACATGCGCTGCTTGTCCTGCAGCTGCGGGACTGTGAGGACAGCGCGTCCTGGGTTTCGTCCTTTGGGGGAACCATGACATGCTGGGCTGAAGTACCGAAGAACGTCTTGGTCCCAGGGAGGGATAGGGACAGAGCTGGGGCTGTTATGGCCAGTCCCTCCACATCAGGACATTGCAGCCTAGCACATTCTACAGTTACTCTCAAGAACTACAAGTGAGAAAAGAGGGACCCCTGGGGCTGTGGTCCTGACTCTTCCCCAGAAGTAGGGTGGCTATCTGACACTGCCCATGAGGGGGCAGCAGAGACTGGCTGCCAAGTGGGCGCCCTTGGCCAGAATGAGGCTCCTGCAATTAGAGACCAGGACTGGCCCAGACAGGGCTTTCGAACATTGTTCTGGGTGAGAAGGCAGTACTGCTTCACACGTAAAGACTCAGGCTCTAGATCCAGGCTGCTTAGGTTCGTATCCCAGCTCTGTCTGTGACCAGGGCCAGTTTCCTGGGCCTGAAACCTGTGTGGTTACAGGGCCCTGCTGCTAGGAGGGCTGCAGGTGGCTTTAATGCTGTGCTGCTGGTGTCCTGAAATTCTTCCAAATTGTTAGAATGAGCATCCTGCATTGTCTTGTCTTGTTTTTTGTTTGGTTGCTTTTTGCTTGTTTGTTTTTTTCACAGGGAAATTCCATAGCAGGTCCTGTCTGTCACTTCCCAGCCTAGTGTTCTTGGGTCGCATGTTGATGTTCAAGTGGTCGATACTGAGTGAACCCCTCATAGGTTTTCTGTGAAGATTCTCTAAGTTAATATGGAGAGTCCTTTATAATAAAACACATAATAAATATGCAGTGATTTTTAGTTGCTACTGTTACTGTTATTTTAGATTTAAAGGGTACCATGGACCAATCCGTCTGGCCAGGCAGTTCTCCATCCATCCACCAGATCCTATTGCTCAGCACTTACTGGGGAGCCCCAAAAACAAGTCTGACTTTGGTCCTGACTCAAGGACCCCACGGTCTGACAGGTTTGTTCTATGGGCTGCACCTTGCTGACCCTTATTCTGTGTGCCTCCCCCTTCTCTCTGGACCAAAAGGAAAAAATATGCTGCTGCTTCCCCTCACTGAGGCTCAGGGAGCTCTGGGATGCTGTCTCGGACAGGATGACCGGGTGCAGTGTGAGCATTCTGTACTGGGGCTGTGGTAAGCTTTCTCATGGTAAGCTTTGAATTTTCCTCCAGCACCAAAGGAGGAAGCACCCAGGCTTTCTTATCAGCTTTCCAGGTGTCAGCAAGAGGTGACAAGGGAAGGCTGAGGCTTAAAAGTCACCAGGACTCAAACATCGAAAGGTGAAGTCGGACTCATTATGACACAGCATTAGGTTGGGTCCTGTGTTTTCTTTAATCCAATCTGAAAATCCTTTTTAATTGGCGTGTTTACATCATTTTCTTTTAATATGATTATTGATATGGTTGGATTAAAATCTGTCATTTCAGCAGCACTCTTTCATTTGTTCTTCTGTCTTTGCTCTTTTTCTCCTTTCTGCTTGCTTGTGTAGCATTCCCATGAGAAGTCCACTCGAATCCCTTTCTTTGGTTGTGATGTCTTTTTCCTCTGGCTGCCTTCGATATTTTCTCAGTGTGCGTCTAACTGTGTATGTTGTTTTTGTACTTGTTGAATCCTGCTTGGGTTTTCCAAGCTTCTTGGATCTATGCCTTGATGTTTTTCATCGCTATCAGGAAAATTCTCCACCATTATCATTTCAAATATTTTTTTCTGCCTGCTCTGTCTTCTCTTTCTGGGATTCCAGTTATGCATATGTTGGACCATTAAATATTATCTCACAGTTCTTGGATTATCTGCTCTTTTTTTTCTCACTTATTTTCCTTATTTTAAGTTGGGTAATTTATATGGACCTATCTTCAAGTGCACTCATTCATTCTTCAGCAGTGTCAGATCTACTGATGAATCTATTGGAGACATTTCTAATTTCTATCACTATTTTTTCATTTCTAACATTTCTACTTGCTTCTTTCTTATAGCTTCTACCTCTCGGCTGAAACTACTCATCTGTTCATGGAAGCATTCCAAATAGTTACTTTAAATTTCCAGTCTGTTAGTCTAAGACCTAGGTTATCTTTCAATCTGATTCTGTTGATTGCTTTGTCTCCCTGTCTGTCTGTCTGTCTGTCTCTCTCTCACTCTCAGTGATGCTATCTCATCATAATACCATGGCTAGAGTGCAGGTGGTTATTCATAGGTGAAGTTACAGTATACTGCAGCCTGAACTCACAGGTTCATGCAGTCTTCCTGCCTCAGCCTCCTAAGTAGCTGGGACTACAGGCATGCACCCCTGTGCCCAACTGTTCTGTCTCTTGTTAATAGGTTTTGCTTCCTTTTTAAGGTTTGCTATTTTGAATTTAATGCTAGACATCATGGGTAAGACACTAGAAACTGAAGTAGTATTAGTAGCAAGAAATGGGCATACCTTTTCTTCTGCTGCTAGACTCTGTGTGTGTGTGTGTGTGTGTGTGTGTGTGTGCGTGTGTGTATTTCAAGTGAGATGAGCAGGGAATAGTTTTGTTGTTGCTATGATTATCTTAAATGCACCATCTGCTTCAAATGCTTCCAGTGCTACCTTGCGCTGGTTCTAGTGTGCTTGTGTAAGCATTGGTTTTCTGAAGGGTTTTTTAAATGTCCTGTTCCACCCTCAGCTTTAGGCCTGTCCTGTGCACCTGCTCTTCTGAGAGGGTCTTTCTGCATGCCTTCTCTCCTCAGCATATATTCCTCTTACCTGGTACTTGGTAACTCCATGGTAGCAGTGAGGAGTGCTTTCTCTTGTCCTGGTCCAGCCTCAACGTTAGGCAGGACCTCTGTTTGTTGATATTGGGGATGGGGCCTTCTCAGAGATATTGACCATCCCCAGCAGTAAAAGACCAATTATCTGAGCTCAAGATGATTCCCTGTCCCTCTCCCAGGAGTCTAGAGTTTTTAAATGTTCCTTATCTTCAACCTCAATATGTCTCTGCCAGTGCCTTGAGGAAGACAGGATTTACTGGCCATTCACCATTGGTTGAAGGATTTTGTTCTTTAGGGGTGAAGGGTGTGAGCAGGGCTCATGCCTGTGCCCCTGAAGGCAGGCTTTCTCCAGTCTTACCATCTACCCCAATATTTGTCCTGGGTACCTGATAGATGTCCATGGAGTAGAGTCTGTGACGGTGTGAACTCCTCCTTGTGTCTGTGGCTCCCAGAGATTTAATACTCTCACAGTGGCCCATACCTGGCCTTCAGCACTGATTAAAATTCATAGTATTTCAGCTTGTTATGGTCACCCCATATCCTGCCTGCAGGTGAGAGGTAAGACAGAGTTCACATCCCATCCCTACCCCAGGTGCTTGTCTTCCCTTCGATTTCAGGGTAATCACATGCCTTACAGCTTCAGCTCTTTGGTGCAGAAAAAGTTATGATTTTGAGCACAATCCAGCTTTCTCTTGCTGATAAGGCAAAAGTGACACTCTTTAGAGCTTTCTACATCCTAGGAGAATCCAAAAATTACTTTGGGGATTCTGAAAAACACACTATTAGGAGGATCCTCTAGAGACTTACTCCAAGGTGGTCACTACCTGCACCAGGAGTGGTCCAGGGTACAGAGGGAATTTAGACCAGCTGATGGAAGAGATAGGCTCATAGGGGTCACTGGGAGGCTATTGTACATATTCAGGAAGGTGTTTCAGGCCTGTGAAAGCGTCAGTAAGGGCCATGCAACAATGTCACGGGATCACCTTGGAACGTCTCCCTCTTTTCCTGGTCCAGGCACGTTCTCAGCCTGGGCCACCTCCACCTGCACAAGCAGCTCCAAATGGAGGGTAGGGATACTGTACTCCGGCCATCCCAAATCCTACTGTTGGATATTGCTGGCAGCCAGAAAAGTTCAGGAGGCTCAGAGCTTCCCGGAGCACCATCCGTGCCCCAGCCCTCTGGGTTCTACTTGTCCTGAGGCCAAGCCATCCCCAGCAGAGCCACCTGCCTTCTCACATTGCCTCTTTCATCATCATTCTGTCTCTAGGAGGATGGATGAATCTCCAGTCCAAGACACAAACACTGATTTTGCCTCCAAAAGATCCTTTATTCCCAAAGCTGAGGTCACAAATACAAAACTTGCTTCTTCATGGCCTCTGCCCCCTCCACCTCCCCCGCCACCAGACAATTCTCCAGCCACAGTAAGATGCCTTCTTAACCTGCCATCCCTTTTGCAGGACCCCATTCTTGGCTCCTCCAGGCTCCTGAGGCTGGCTGGACATCCCATTCACAGCTCAATGTGTTCTGTCTGGGGTGGCTTCTCCACCACCTTTTTGCCAAAGAGGTTAGTCCAGAAAGCCACTTCCTTGTCCTTCAGCTTCTGGGCTGCCTGGGTGTTGGCACCAATCTGTAGGTACCCTTCCTTCTGGTTGTACTCTGGCCAGTGGGGCAGCCCTTCCCCATTGGGGTTTCTGAAACAGAATCAAATAGAAATGCCCCAAAGCTGCTATGTGGTCTGAATAATCCTCTGAGACGGGGTGAGGATGCCCAAGCTTATCTCTGTCAAGAGGCTTGTATACCTCCAGAGATGGGGAGCTCACTATCTCCTGGGGTGGCCTATCCATTTTTAGAGAGCTCTCATTGTCAGAGAGCCATGGTCACAGGGTCAGGAGTTTGATCACTAGAACCTTAGAAGCTGCCCCTTCCCGATAGGCGTCTTCTGTCCCCCCACCCTCACCAGCCCCGCTCCGTCTTTGCCACCAGCCTCACCCATTGCGAGCAAAGTTGGCCCAGAATTTCATCACCATCTTGCTAAGTCTGATCTCCTCTTCAGAGCTGCCCTCTGTTAGGAAGAAGAAAAAAAGCATTTGTTACTCAGAGTGTGGTCCGCGGTCCTGCAGCAGCATCATCATGTACCAGCCAGGTAGAAGCACATTTTTGGCCCATGCTCCACACCCATGGAGCTTAACTCTGAACTTAAGAAGACCCTGGTGGATTTAAGAGCACTTTACCTTTGAGCATGGCTGACCTAGGGCTCAGCAATGGCATATGTGATTCCATGTGCTGGCTGCCTTTGCCTCCCGTGACCCTCACCTGCCTCCTCCTTGCTCGGGATCACAGGCAATGCCACACCCCAGGGTTTCCTCTACAGCAGCCCCACCTCCCAGGGTCGCTCTGTCTTGGAACTTTTCTCCCTCCCTGGCACACACCCACAATTCATATTCTGAAAAATAACAGAGCTCAAGGCTCCTCGGGGTGCACAACTGGGAGAGGCCCAGAGGTGCTGGTGCGTCCAGAGCAGCTGTGGGGTGGGTCCCATGTGATCTGTAACTGCTGAGAGTTAAGGTTTAGAAGACATTGTGGAAGGATTCTTTTAAATGTTGTGTAATGTAAACTAAAAACAAAATCCTGACACCCCCAACTGACTGAACAGAACCCCTCAGGGCTAATGGGAGCCCAAAAAACCCTACACTGAGTTCCTTCCTGCCTGGGAACGGACAGGAGGTCAGACACATCTCAGAGTTCTCCCTCCCTTTTGTGATTTAGACACCACTGACCAGCATCAGCAATAAAATGAAGGTCATCATTCTGACAGATCACGTTCCTTTTGGCCATAAGACAGCAAATTAAAAATAAGACCTAAGGCCACGCTGGGCAAGCGTTGAGGCCTGCATCTGTACCCTTAAAAAATCCACTCCGTTCTTACTGCGGCAAAGTGCTTCTGTTTCTCTAGCAGCTAAACTGGCACTGTCCTGGAGTTAAGCAAAATAAAAACAGTTACAACAGCTGCTGCTTGGAGACGCGGACAAACAACCCTGCACGGCCGGTCTTAACTACGGCTTTGACTACATAAGAGACTAATTTCAGTAACTTTCTCCAGATAAAAAGACAACCAACCGTGGACTGGTCCTGGCTGTTTTACAGAGCCTGCTTACTTGCTGGGCTTTGTATCCTGAGAAGACCACTTTACTCAAAGGCCCTAATTGTAATATATTTAAATATTAAGTCTCCACCCTAAAGTGAAGGTCGGTCATGGCTATATACATGTTTGGTTAGTTCACATAGGTCAGGACTGTCTTCATGAATATTCGTGGTTACCCCTGTAACTTGTTGAACATGTATGTTTAGCCAACTTGCTCACATAGAGCTCCTATCCAATCCCTCCTGCTTAACTAGGCTGCGTCTGGGCATCTGGGCTGGCCGGAGGCACCTTCCCAGCCTGTGGGATGGCCGCCTTGCCAGCTGTAAACCATACCAAAAATAAAGTCTCTTCCCATATTCCAAATTCATATATCCTGTGATTTCTAAGTTAAGAATTATTAACTGTATTAAATCTAAAGGTTTATGAGTTTTTGTTAGAGACAGACAGAAAGAGAAACAGACACACATTAGACCTGACTCAGGGCTAACACCAATGCTAACCTCCCCCTCACATTCTGAGCCCTCCTGGGAGAGGGAAATTGATTGGCGGCTTCTCAACCTAGAGGAGGACGCTGCATGTGTCCCATTGCCTGTCTTGTCGATGTCACAGGCCAGGATTCTTAGCGTCTGTGGCAGAGGGCACATGAATACACATCCTCCCTCACCTGTTAGAGCAGGAGGAAGCTGGGGACACTCCAATGGCATTCAACCCTGTTACAGTGAATCCTGAAGGACACACCCCACCTGTCTTATTGATGTCACAGACCAGGATCCTGAGTGCCTGTGGCAGAGGGAATATGAATACACATCCTCCCTCGCATGTGTTAGAGTGAGAGGAAGCTGGGGGACAACCCAATGACATTCAACCCCGTTACAGTGAGTCAGGAAACTAAGACCAGGAGAGGGTAAACTTGCTGGAGGCCACCACACCAAGACTGGAACCCAGATCTCCTAACTCCAATCTCAGGGCCAGCAAGGAGCCATTACCTTTTAAAAATGGGGCCCCAAAGACGGAGAAGATCTCGTCCCCATGGTCTCCTACCACCGTCTTGGGTTTCAGGTCTGATGAGAAGCTTGGACGATACCGAAACTCATACATGTAGGTGGGTACTCCAGCATCTGAGAAGACAAGGATTCATGGACAGTTCATGTGGCCTGACACACACCTGGAGGCTACCAAGGTCTCCAGCCCTGCAGGAAACCCCTGATATCAGCACAGTAGAGAAACAGAGTCGCAGGAGAGCTCAGTGACGTGCTCTGGGCTGCACAGCTGGTTGAGGTGGAACCGGAATTGGAGCCAGGTGTTTGTTCAGTGAATGAATGTTGAATGAATGAATGAGGAAACCCTGGGTCAATTCATTTCAATAACTGCCTTTCCAGGGACACTGGCTCAGCCGTGTAAACCCCTTTGCCTGCTGGCGCATTCTCACACGAGACAATCTCTCTACAGCTGGTTACACGGGATGTCATTCGTTGATAGCAGACTCGCGTTCATTCACTGGGATGACATCTCCACCCTGACAGGTGTCTTCTGTTCTGCCTAGTTTTGAGCATTTCCAGTGTTTTTCTCACCCTTTCTGAGAAGACTCAAGCAAATCCAAGTTGCTTGTCTGAATGTGCGGCTATTTAAATACAAACATAGCTGAGCGTGAACAACCCGTCTCTTGTGTCTGAGGAATCTGCACACTCAGCGCTTTATCTCTCACTCTGCCCACGTGCCTCGCTGCCTACCTGGCCTGGGAGTGTTAAGGTGTTAAGGCATTAAAGTGGTGGCAGAGAAGAGAAGGGGCTGAGCAAGGGTGACCCTGCCTCTCCCCTGCCCTGTCTCCTTCTCCTCTGCCTTCCTCTCCCACCAGCAAAGCTCTCCAGTCCCAGCCCCAAGAAGATGCCAGGTTCCTAATGATTGGCTCATTGGAGCCACAGATCGCTGCTCCTTCAGGGCTTCTTTGTGGGTCACCCAGCCCTGTGACTCAGCATTTTGCATTTACCACATTGTGTATAATTTAAAAATCAGTTTTAAAATGAATTTTAAAAATCAAATTTAAAATAGCACTCATAACTCTACCACTCAGGGAATGCTTTTGAAAAATTTTAGCATATGTCTCTTTTATATATATAAACTTGGGATGATATTATATATGTTATTTTGAAATATACTGCCATCACTTAAAAAAAATTTTTTTTTTGTAGAGATGGGGTTTCACTATGTTACCCTGGCTGATCTTTAAATTCTAGGCTCTCGCAATCCTCCGATCTCAGCCACTCAAAGTGCTGAGATTATAGGCATGAGCCACCACCTCCAGCCGTCATTTTTTAACATCCTTAAATATTCATCCACAGAAGGATTTACCAATAGGGCCTTACACCACACCCCACATGTGTCATTTTCATGTGAAAAAGAACAATCCATTTACTCGTCTTTGTCAGCCTCCTTCACTGCACTCTTGGCTCAGCAGGAAGCGTGGTTTGGAAGAAGCCATCCTCTGTGGCTCTGTAATCCACCTGTTAAATGGCTGCTTCAAGGTCAAGCAAAAAGTGCTTAAAGGAGGGTTTGACCTTGCCTTTGCCACTCAGACATTTTCCAGAGGAACTCAGAGTCAACCATAGAGGAAAGAGCTTTCGTGAATGAGGGAACTTATTATAGGCAGCATGCTGCCCAAAACCTACTTTGTAAAAACTCTTTGGCTAAAGTGACTGATGTTCATACAATTCCTACAGTCACAACACAAGTCTTCAGAGAAAACTAGGGTACAGATTTGGGTAATGACAGTTAGGCACCATAAGAGAAGCAGAGACAGTGAGAGGGCTCGTCATGAAAAACATGCAAATTAAAACAGGGTGAAGTGCTTCTTTCTGGTGGGGACAAATTGGCAGCATTAACTTTTAGACTTAGTATCCCAAATGAAAAAGGGAATTAGAAAATTCACATTCTTATGCACTGAAATGCAATTTTGCAATATTTGCCAAGAGTTCTAAAACGTTTCTGTGGTCCAGACTAGTTATTCACTTCTAATAATAATCCTAAGAAAATTATTAGACATGTGGTTAGAGACTTATGAACATTAGGCTGAGCATAATGTTATTGTAGCATCAGAATGTGAGCAGCCAGGCTAAATGTCTAATAGGTAGGAATATCAAAGTCAATTTCATACAGTCATTTCATGGAATGAGGGATCTTTTGATGAGTTCGTATCAACATTCAGAAATTCCTCACGACATAGTGTTCTATGAACGAAAGCAAAATACAAAATTGATTTTTAAAATATATAGGACATGGAAAACCTTTAGAAGAAAACACAAAAAATTATAGCACTTGCCTCCATGTAGCAGAATTATGAGTGACACCTAGTTTCTTCTTTATGTGTTTCCATATTTTTGAAACTTTCTACAATTTAACATATTAACTTTATATTTAGAAATGGTCTTTTCATCAAAAAGAGTGAGACACAGCAAAAAGTGAAAGTTGATAAGACCTGTGTAGCAAAAATAAAAATAAAAACCCCTGAACAGAAAGTCATGGGAAATCAGATGAAAAATACAAGTTCAGTATTGCTTAAACCATCAAAAGATGGAGATGGGAACACTATATATAAATCAGACGCAGAGCATGGGGCAAAGCCAAGTTTAAGAGAGAACAGATTCAACTCCATTGGTCCCGGGTAAAAGGTTTTATCAGGACCCTGTGAAGAAGTGAGAGTTAATGAGCACCTGCACCTTCCTGTGCAAAGGTTGTCTGGGCACCTGCTAGATCAGCTTTAGCTAGTTTTTATCATGCTTATGATGTTCCACATTTAAAAACCCTTCCAGCATGGTTAGAGAGAGGACATTTCCTGTCTTGCAAACTACGTGAGTGAGAGTTGGAAGAAAAAGAGTTCTGTGAACCTCCTCTAGCCGGCACCCAGGAGAAGATGCTCCTCTCTAGAGAGCTCATGGATCCCTAACCTCATGCCCAATCCACACAGCCTTGGGTCAGTGATTGGCACCCAGGATAGTACATTCCTCTCTAAGTGAGTTCATGCATCCCTAACCTCATCACCCACTCACACTGCCTTGGGTCAGTGGTAGAAGGTCCTGCATAGACCCTGCCCTGGCCCTCTGGCTGCCTGTTCCTACGCACACTAAGATGCACAAAAGCCAGCCTCAGACATTGCCCTCCTCTAGACCAGCAACCCCACACCTGCTATGGCTCCTCCTTTTGGCCTGCTTGGTCCTGGACAACCCTCTGGTTCCTGTGCAGAGGTCCCACTCTTTCCCCAGCTCCAATACTTAACAAACTTGTTGGCAGCAAGCTTGGACCTTAAAAAACCTTCCACAATTCATCTTTCAATATTTGTCCTACAGTAGCCCTATGTACCACGATAACTCCAGGCATGAAGCCCTTGCAGCAGATGCTGTCAGTGTCTCACCCATATCCCCTATTTCTGGGCATGCCAGCCTGACTTCCACCTCCAGCATCTGTAGCTCCTGGCCTGAGGCCTTTGTCTTGGTCACAAGAGACCAGTCTGTCATTGTGTTTAGCAGGTCAAAGTCACAGGGAATTAACAAGTCCTTGGAACACCCTTCAACCAATGACAAGTGGAAGCTGGTGGATAAATACCCTGGCTCCCTTGCTGCTCAGATGGGAAGACCCTGAGCACTGTCTTCTCCATGTTTCCTTGATTTTCCTGGCTGCAGTTGTCCACAGTGGATACTCCCTTGGCAATGCATCATGGATTGGATTCCATCTCTTTCCTCTCTCACTTCCCTCCCTCCCCACTGCTGTTATCTGGGATCATCGCCTTACAAAACCACTTGCCTCTGGATTTTTTTTTCTCAGTCTGCTATAGGCATAAACCAAAATAGGACAGCATCTCACCCCATGCCATATGGAATCAGCCTTTGAGGACTAACCCTTGGCTATTTCCATGTCTGTCTATGCTGGGAGGTAGGCGGGTCAGATGCAGAAGTTGGTGTGGTTCGTGTCCCCCCCGCTTTTTGACGTTGGGACTCACCTCTGTGGTTTCGGGCCACAATCACAGATGGGACACCAAACAACACATCCTCCACCAAGTCCGTGAAGAGGTCTCTCTTTTTGACAAGATCGTCTGTTCCTCCTAAGTACGTCTGAATGGCTTCTGGAATGAGCTCCTTAGGAATTTTCTGAAATAGATCAATAAAGTGACTACCACCCTCTGGTGGGTGATGCAGCATCTCCAGCCCACCGCCTCAATGGTGAACCTTACGAGTCCTGTGCAACTCTCCCCCACCAAGGGTGGGAAGTGAAGTGGGAAAGGCGGAGAGATGGGGAAAACCCTGAAGCCCCAGTCTTCATTCTGCCATTTAATTGTTCCATGATTTGGGGAAAGTCCTTGTCCCTCTTTGGGTCTCTGCCAATTTCCATGATGCCTGGATACTTACAACAAGGGGATAGGACCTCCACAAGAGTGACATGGCTGTCTTCTGGTCCAGTTTCCCTTCGGAGAGTGGATAGCTCAACAACTGTTTTAAAAAAAAATAGTTAAGCATTTGGGGATTTAGGGATCTTTGGGAGTTAATGAGAAGAAACAAACTGACCAATAAATCAAACCAATGCAGTCTGAAGGTCATCTAATTTTACTGGGCTTTCAGGGACATGGGTCTTTACTGAAATGGGCAAAATCCGTGAATAAAATGGCCTTATATCCAGAAACTCAAGCATTGCAAAGATTACCAAAAAATAAATAAATAAATTCAGAGGAGCTGTGGCAGTGTTTGACTCTGTGTGTGTGTGTGTGTGTGTGTGTGTGTGTGTGTGTGTCAGGATGGCATCCCTACAGTGGTCAGTGATACGGAGAGGGAAGATTTCTGCCAGGCTAGTGTGGCATAGAGAGCTCTGGGGAAGAGGACTCAGATCTCCCAAGTGCTCCCAGGTGTCACAGATGACACTGGAAGCCCCAGATCCTGCCTTCATGGCTTCGGTCTTTGGTAAAACCTCTGCAATCCTTCTGAGGGGTAAACAGCACATCTCTCTGCACAAAATGACTCTGCCCAAACCTCTGCACTCAGAGACTCAACCAAACTCTAGCATCGCTTCCAGCAGCTTAAGGCTGTGTCCCTAGAATGACCCCAGCCAGCGTCCTGAACATGCCTGCCTGTGAAGACTCAACTCTGCCAGGAGAATTTACTCTTTGCTCCAGCCAAAACCTGGAGAGAAGCAGACAGGCCTCTGAACCCTCCTACAGCAGTTGCTTTAGAAAGCCTGCAATGATAAGCCCTTTCCCTGCCCTTTGGGTTGTGAATCTACCACCCAACCATATTTCCTCGAGGACCTGAGAGCCTTCTCTTTGCAATGCAAACATTCAGGAAGCTCACTCTTGCTCTTCCCAGTCCCCGTGGAAAGAGTAGAGCCTGACCTCAGCGGTTCTTCCTGCAGTCTAACACATGGTGTCCTGTTCTGAAGATAAGAGGAGTTTGTTTCTGCCCCAGGTGAGCCAGGATGAAGAGATCCATGCGGTCTAGCCACATGGACCAACCCTGTCCCCACAGCCCACAGTGCCCTTTCCTTAGCATGCTCAGCCTTTAAAACAGCACATGAGTGTGTTACACGGGTATGAGTTCAATCCACACTGGACTCTTCTTTCCTCTTTGCAATCGTGTACTGAATAAATTCCATCCTACTCCTTTAACCAGGGTCAGCTTTGCTTGTCCTAAACTGGAAGGAGAAGCTTTTTTACTTTTAGAAGTCAATTTTTTTTTTCATTTCTCCTTTCCAAGTTTTATTTGAGGTTCAGAGGGTACCAGTGCAGGTGTGTTACATGGGTAAATTGTGTCTCTGGAATTTGGTGTGTAGATTATTTTGTCACCAAGTATTGAGCATAGCACCCGATTATGTAGCTTTTCCATCCTCACCCTCCTCTGACCCTCCACCCTCAAGTAGACCCTGGTGTCTACGGTTCCTTGGAAGTCAATGATAACTCACAAGAAGCCACTTTCTTTGGATATTTCCCATGAGGTGATGAAGAGCATGAATGACTTACGGGAGAACTACACCTACCCAGCCCAAGGTGGGAAGGCAGGAAGCCCCTGCCTGCCTCTCCAGATTGGACTCCTCAGCTCCTTCCCACTTCTAGGCCCCCTCAGTTTTCCCATCTGCACAATTATTTTCTCTATTGGCCCTCCCAGCACAGACACTTCAGGATTCTTCAATAGGAAGACTATCAGGGAGTCTGGGGAGAGGGGATTCCAGAGCCCTGACACCCGGTGACAACTCTGCCCTCCTGGAGAAGGTTTCCTGGAAATGTTAATCTTGCTGAAGGGGACCGCTGCCTGGGACTCAGAGGGGCTTGGAGAGGGAAGCACTCCTAGGGCCAGAGACAAGGTCATTGATGGGGGTGGGTGAATCCCTCCACGAAGCCTGCACATTCTCACCGTTGGAAGCAACCAGCCAAACTCCTTCTTGTTGAATCCAACCATGTAGGGAACAGTCTGGAATTTCCTTTCAGCTTGCAGCTCCTCAGGTGTTTTTGGCAGCACAACCCCATCAATCACTGTGGGGGTGTAGAGGTAACTCTGGGGGAGAGAGCAGCACAGAATCTGTGATTTCCACCCCAGGCCACACCCGTGTCTCCAATTCCACCTGTCTGAGGGTGAGACCAACACCACAGACTGGCGTGGCCATGGGCCACGGCTACACACGCTTGAGTTCCTAACTTCGGGGGGTAGATATGTGCGACCCAGGGGTAGAACTTCAGGCAGAGGCTGGCAGTGGCCAGGTGATGGGGAGAGGAAGAAGCCTTCACTCAGTTTGAAATACATGTATTATCTATATAAAATTACATGTGTATATATTTCAGTTTGAGGTGCATGCATTCCTCTCTCTGCATCCACAGCTGATTTTTGGTAGTCTCAGCAGTTGTTTCCGATAAAGCTCCCATCAGTCTGAATTAGAGAATACAGTCATCACTCAAAGGGAAATACTGGGTTAGGTTGTTGGAAACCTTTGGTCACAGCATTTTCATCAACCTTCTTTTATGTGTGGGTTTCTGCTGAAAGACACTTTGTAATACATATTTTGTACAGTCAGTCAGTTACATGCAGGATCATTTAGAATAAAACACTAGCTGGAAGTGCCTTGCAATTTTTCTGACCCTGGGTGACATGACTGCAAATTTCCTTAGTTTTCAGCATCACAACAGTGATGTCCACCATGCTTTACTAAAATTCCTTCAACATCTTACGAATCCACCAATGTAGCTGCTTTTCCATCTTTCCACAGCTCCATCACAGACAATGGGTGTTACTTTGGCACTTCCCATCACAACCTCATGTATGAATCGGCCAGTTTCCTTCTCCTTTTTCTGGATGTGCTGTTTTGTGGATTTTTCAACACCGAATGCACGGCCTGCAGCACTGCAGCTCCTGCCTCATCCAAGCTTAGTTCACACAGGCGCCTTCCACGTATAAGGCACAGCACAGCCTGCTTAGCTAGGGAATGCAAGACAGCAGCGCTACTCTTGGGGGCCACTCTAAACAGTGACATCACCACAAAAAGCACAAAAGCGTAAAACACATGGCACTAAATAGGCCGCAAAGAGGACACTTGTTGCATGAGAGATGAAAGGAGAAGACAGAGACTGCCTCGCTGGAGCTCAGACGGAACGTGCTCATCATGCAAATCCAACTTCCCCTGCTCTGCGCCTGCCTGTGTGTGACCACCAAAATGCCGCCAGTATTGATTTTGGGGTCACAAGGACATTTCAGTAAGCAGGTGAATTTATGAATGCAGAATCCATGGTTAGTGGGGAAGAGATTGTACCTATGTATCTGTATTTAAACATGAACTGTTGTTGATCCACGGATGGCTTTCAGGACGTACTGAACCCTCATCACTCAAGGAGGCTAGACTAGGACTTGAGTCCCTATTAGAGAGGAAAATCATGAATAACAGAATCAGGGATGAACTCGTAATATATTGATCCATGTCTTAATTTTAGGTTTTCTCTTTGATGAATACTTTTTTATGGTCACAGATTAGAGAGAGCCCGACTCACATGTTGCCATCAGGGGAGCTGGTTCTGGGCACAGTTATATTTCAGATTTAGTCACAGTGGTGTTAAAAACAGAGAACGTAGATGTTGAAACCAGATTACCTGGATCTGACGTCTGGCTCTTCTACTAACTGGCAGGTAGTTTCACCTATTTGGGCTTCAGTTTCTCATCTATGAGGTGAGTTATTGTGAGGATTAAATGGCTGAACACATGGGAAATACTCAACACCACAGCACCTGGTGTCTGGAAGGGCTGAATAAATGTTAGGTATTACTTGTTAGCAGGGTTACTGCGGGTCCGTCTCACAGACACCAGTCCTCTGTGCCATCTTCCCAGCTCCACGTGCCATGGGCTGTATTTCCTTCCTGGATATCAGATGGAACTGGACAATTCTTAGGCTTTGGACCACATGGCTTCTCAGACCTTTGGTCTGCTCTACAAGACCCAATGAATGACAAGCTAGTTCTGGCTGCCAGAGGGAGATGTTCTGTAAAGTGGACCACAACCAGCTGTACAAGAATCAGATCCTAATCCAATATGGCGGACAATCCAGAACAGGATTGGGTGCAAGTCTGACCACCTTGGCAGTCTGTGCAGTTCAGGCAGGGCTGCCATGGGAGGCCAGCAGCCCCTCTGGAAGGAAGATGCAGGGAAGACTGCATGGAGGAGGCACTGCCCACCTGAGGGTGGCTCTGGGCACTGAATGGTGTTGACAGGTGAAGAAAGGAGTGAGAATTTCTAAACAGTGGGAAGAGCGTGAGCAAAAGAACACTGGTGTCACTGTGCAGGGTAAATTCCAGAAACACCTAAGAGTCCTGGGCTTAGAGGGAAGCAATGGGGTAAGGGCTAGAGGAAGGGACCGGTGGCACAGCCTACTTTCTGCACCGTCTAGTACATAGCAGGCACTCAGGTGTGTTTTGAAGGATGAACTCCATGGAGGGAAGGGGATTTACTTCATAAGGTAGGTCAGGCTTTTAAGAAGTAGGGGTGATGTGCTCTAACTCTGTTAAGGAAGGCCAGTCTGGCTGCACCATGAGACATGGAAATGGGGAGGGGGGTGAAGTAGAAGAGGATAAAAGTTGAGGAGAGAGACTGGAGCACCCAGCTGGGCGGCAGCCATGCGGGGAAGCTGCCATCAGCAACGGTGACACATGATGGCTGCTGTCCACTCAGAGTTTGCAAGTGGCTGCCCTGTGTGGCCATGACCTTGCTTGGGTCAGAAATCTCAGGGAATCCTCCACTCTTCTCCCTTTCTCACCCCTTGCATCCCATCCATCCGCAAATCCTCTCAGGATTCCTTCAAAGATATCCAGACTCCAACCACTTCTCCCACCCCCACTGCTACAGCCCTGTCTAAGCAGCCAGGAGCCCTTGCCTGGATCAAGGCAGTGCAGTGCCCGCCCAGCTGGTCAACTGCACCTGCACTGGTCCTCTCCACAGGCAGAGAGCTTTGTGAAATCTAAGATCATGTGACTCCTCTGTTCACAACCTCCAAAGGCTTCGGATCTTGCTGTGAATCCAAATTCAGGTCCTTTAAATGATCTCTTTCCCACCTCCCATTATCTCTTTAGCCTCAAGCCAGTCTGTCCCCACACTTGGTTCTCCTCAGCCAGACTGGCCATTCCATCAGGGTCTTTGCAGTGGCTGTTCCCTCTGCCTGGAATAGGCTTTCCCAGGTCTCCTGACAGCTGGCTTCCCACCTCCTCCAGAGCTTAGCTCAAATGCCACCTTCTCATTGAGCTATTCCCTGACCCTGCTACTTATATTCAAACCACCTGCAAACTCTGTCCTAATGCTGTACACCATCAAACAGAATACACACTCGATTTGCTTTTTGAGTGCACTGTCCCTGCACTGCAATGGAAGGTCCCAAGAGGGCAGGGAATCTTTCTTGTTTCACTCCTATATCCCCAGCTCCTAACCAGGTCCAGGCACATAGGAAGTGCTTATTAAGTCTTTGCTGAATGAATCTCACGTACTCTGCCCAAGACGATTGAGGGAGTGCTGTGACCTCCAGGGAGGCAGCAGAGAGGACAGGATTGTAAGATGCCGCAGAGGTGATGTCACAAAAACTGTCAACCCATTCGGAGGTGGGGATGGGGTGAGGAGATCGGGAGGATACTGTTGGAGATTCCTGTGTGCTGGGAGGATGGGGGTGTCTTCGGTCTGAGATTTAGGCTTCCCCACTCCATGGC